ACAATTTGCTGAACTTTGCAAACTGACTTTATCCAGCAGGTGGTGCCTGTGATCCGCCGTGGAAATGGCTTTGCAGTTTTTGCAGATCATGTCGCCAGGCTCTCTGCAGAGAACAGGCTGCAAAGTCTACTTCATTCTGAATAATCATATGTGATTGTTTTTTTAATTGCCATCATTTGTGACTGCAGATCATTTTTGTAATGTCAGGGAGGAAATCCTTGCATAGAAGGGAAATAATACATCAGTCCACACTGCTTTTTTGTAATAGAAGGATTTCTACTACTATGACATTATGTACATGGAGTTTGCATGTTCTTTATGTGCAGCATGGATTTCCTCCAGGTTCCTCCCAGACTGCATGCTGGTAGGTTAAATGACTTTTGTCTAAATTGGCCCTAGTACATTATGTGAGATAGGGACCTTCAATTGTAAGCTCCCGATGGACTCCTCATTGAGGGCAGGGACTGATGCGAATGTACATCAGAGTGAAAACTAAATTCCAGATCTGCACTCTTGGTCTTGGTCAGTGACTGATGAATGACTAGAACCACTGAATGAATGATAGCCAGGCAGCAGGCATTTTGAGGAGAGTCCAACAATCGTAGCCCTGAGCATAGGTTTCCATTAAAGTGGTATTAAATCCAAACCCAAGACCAAAAATAAAATATATTGCAGCTTACCAATCTGTAGATGTGGTGTCTGCACTAGGTTTTTTTTAGGCATTTTCCCTCTGTTTTTACCTGGTGATCTGGCCAGTAAAACACTTTCTGTATTAGAGTGCTTCCACTCTGGATGAAGGAGCACAGGGGGCATCTTTGGACAGCAACACTGTTAGTCTAGGGGGGGAGGTGTTAAATGGACTAGCAGATTTAGATACACTAACAAATTAAAACCAAACTCCAGCTCACGCTTTATAAGCAGTTACAGCAAACAGATTTTTGTCCTTTTGGGATAACGGTTTTACATAAATAAAAAGCTGATTATTGGAAGAACCCCTGTGGTTTGTTTCAACCCTCTAACTGCTACATTTCAGGAGAGCTTGTTCTGTCCACTTCACATTTAAGAATTGGTAAGCTGCAATATAATAAATTATTATTTTGGGGTTTGTTATCACTTTAAAGCAGAACTATTCTTTTTTGCTTTTGGGTTTAATGGTGCTTTAACTCTGAACTCTAAGCAGATAACAAAGACACTCTGTACTTAATTCACTATTAAAATATTTTTATTTAAATGCAAGGCAGTGTAAGTACTTGGATTTGACTTGGAATCAGCCTTTTGCAGTTAGAGCAGAGCTCAGGCTGGGAGATGGAGAAGCCATAAAAAAAGAGGCAAATAGTTATTTCTCTGACAAGAGGTATGTTGATAGAAGGAGCAATCAGAGTGACAGAGAAATGAGCTCATCACTGTTCTACTTTGTCTTTCACTGTTCAATCACAGGCTGGACCAATTCCATGACAGCCTGAGCCTCAGAGGAAGTTAAATGATACCAGCTGCCTTATCACCTGTACAGCCAGTCTTTGCTTTAATAAGTGTCCCTATGCTATATGAAAGAACAATCCTTCATTTAATTCTTTATGGGGTCACAACACCATTTCCCTTGAAACAGGCCTCGACCCTCTCTACCACCTTGTGTATCTGATATGTGTCAATGTATTTCCGGTTCCAGTGGATGCGTAGTGACGTCACGTTCGGTGAGTGGATCGCACGTTAGTTTGCGGCGCTCTGGAGTGACTTCCTGCTTTCATTAAGGGGAGATTGTTATCTTGTACTACCTACTGCCAGTCCACTTTTACAAAGGGGGATTTCATATGGATTTGAGCCTTAAATATGAGCCTTTAAGCATGAATACAATTTATATCATTTGAGTGCATTAAGGGCAGCATTTTTTAGAATAAAGAGTTTTCATACAGTATTGTACTATTTCATTATTTGTGTTCTTTATTTGTTTTTCATTGCCATCTAAACGTGGGAATCGTTTTTGGAGGATATCAAGTGCAGATGTATCTGGGGAGGATACACCTCATCTTTAAAGCTTGTTTGACTCTTTAGCCATACTAGCAAAGAGTCCACTCCATCTGGTGAGTGAGGATTGTTTTGTCAATCACGAATGGTGTGAGCACTTTTTTTGAACATTTTGTTGAGCACTATTTCTGGGATTAGAGCACATTCTTATATATTTTTGGGACTTTTGTTTGGACTTTTTACACATTTATAGTGGAGTGTTTATATTTACATTTGATTGTTTTTTTCTTTCATGAGCAGCGGCATTTAGATTTGGATTATATTTATATATTTTTTTCTTTGGCGCAGGTTTTACTTTATTCATTATAAAAAATTAATTGTCCATTTGACATGGTGCTTCTCCAAATAATCCACCTCAGTGCCGATGATCTCCAAATAAATAAATAGAAGCTCACCAGAATACCATGACCAGGTTTTTCCCCTAAACCAGAACTTATGGGTTTGTTCTAGACAGAATCTGTCACTCCATTCCTCAGTTGTAATCTGAATATTCTCCCTATATCATTTGGCTCAGAACTTACAGTACATAAAAACAAAAAGCTTACTGGATATCCTTGACCTGTTAAAACAAAGGTCCTCCAATCAGAACTCTTCTGAGCATATACAAATGTAAGGAACACCACACACTCCAACTTCTCCAGTTGTGGTCAAAGTTCACTTTTCACCATTACCTTAGGACTAGCATTAAAACACAGAAACTCCCATAGTGTAGTATGTTAGCATTTACATAATCACATCATAAGTACTGTATATACCCACATAGCAGAACATTTATCTACCCCCCTTTTCCAGCATAAGAATATAGGCATTTTAAGTTGAAAAGGCTCACCAAAAGATATATGACACTCCTAAATGTAAGCAAGTCAAAAGATTACTCTCTTCAGGTTTAGACACCTTCCTATAAACATATAAGCACAGGTACTGTACAAAAAGGAGGTTCACCAGACTTATCTGACCCCCTTATAATAAATGAGTCATAAATCATTTTCTTCCAGTACAAGCAACTGATAGGACCTCCCAGTAAACCCCTCCACACCCACTGGGCTTATTCATGTACAATGAGATTAACACATCTCAAAATCAATTCCTCCAGTCCTCTGTCAGATTCACTCTGTATGCAGTCAGCTCAAGCCAATATTAAAAGCAAAGATGATCCCAAAGTGTAGTAAATTTAAAATCCAGTCCAACTGGATTCGCTTTGTGTACAGATCAGCTCAAACCAATATAAAAAGCAAAGATACTCCCATAGTGTAGTAAATTTAAAATCAAAAGCACTTTATTAAAATTATTACACCCATAAAAACATATAGCAAAGTCCCTTTAAGGCAATTATACCGGCACTTCCTGGTACACGTGTGTGATGAAGTCACTTCCGCTTGGCATGTTTTGTAATTTGACTTCCTCAGGATGTGATATCAATGCTGGAAGTGCCCATTATATACACAGTTTGCATACGATGTGTGCCCTTACTTGGACCCAATCATAAGCTGCATTTAAGTCAAGGAACAGCGTAAAACAATCCACAAAACTCCATATCTACTGTATATAACCTTTGCACACATAGTAATATATAAGTCTATAAAATATTTGAACATTATACAATCCAAATACCACCCCTTCCTCCATCTAAACACAATAGCTTCCCCACAGTAATAGGCATACAAAGGGTAACACTGCTAAAATCGTATTTACATTAATGAAATCATAAAAATGAGTTAAGACAAGTACTTTCTCTGTATATTTAAGTAGTTAGATGTAAGGCTGCCCCATCCACTTTTCTGACCTCAAAATATAGATAAAAAAACAGTTCAGGTCAATTTCCACATTCAGACCTTAGGTTGCATTCAATATAATTCACATATCCACTTTGTCTCATTTTGGATCATCTTGCTCTTTTTTTTCCCCTCTCCAATGCCCCTTTATTGTATCTGTTCCATATACTTTTAATTGTCTCAGATCACAATTATAGCATACACTATGGAGTTGATTTATTAAAGGCAAATAGACTGTCAGGGGCTCTTTATGAAATCAGTGGACCTGTGTGCAAGATCATCACTGCTTGAAACGAAAAAAAAAAAAGCAGTGATTTTCAATGTGCCAGGGGTGTTGCTAGGACTGTAAAAAACCTGGAGCAGCCTTTTGGCGCATAAACTAAAAGAGTAATGCGGTGTGTGCAGCACGCTGTGGCAAACAGTGGGTGTGGCCAAATTGTATTACCAGTGGGAGGGGCTTAAGAGGCATGGTTAAATAAAACAAGGTCAGTCCCAGTATAATCCCCCCAGGTCAGTCTGTCCCCCAATATAAACCATGTCTCCTCCAGGTCTATCTGTCCCTCATGGTGGTCTGTGAAGGAGAGGAGAGAGTGCTGACTTGTTAGCACCCTGAGCGGAGATAATGGAAACTTAGAGTAGTGATCCTAAAGCGCAATTAGACCCACTTGTCATATTAAGGGATCATGAACTAATGGAGAGTATGGTGTTCAATGGGGTGCATGAGTGAACACTGACACTGGAGAGGAGTACAGCACTTTATTTTAGTGGCACTTTGATTTTGCAAGAAAAGATCACAAGAGACACAACATAACGGAAAGCGCCAGAATATTTTAACACTTTAACCACTTGTCTACCAGGTACTTATACCCCCTTCTAGCCCAGGTCAATTTTCAGCTTTCAGTGCTGTTGCATTTTGAATGACAATTGTGCGGTCATGCAACATTGTACCCATATGAAATGTTTATAATTTTTTTTCACACAAATTGAGCTTTCTTTTGTTGTATTTGCTCGCCGCTGGGTGTTTTATTTTTTGCGCTATAAACAAACAAGAGCAATCATTTAAAAAAAAACTGATGGGCACAGATAGGCAGTACTGATAGGTGGCACTGATGAGCTGACACTGATGAGGCAGCACTGATATGCTACAATGATAGGAACTGATAGGAGGCACTGATGTGCAGCACTGATGAACACTGATAGGTGGCACTGACTGCCGGCACTGACTGGCGGCACTGCTGGGCACTGACTGGCAGCACTGCTGGGTGGCACTGCTGGGCAGCATTGACGGGCAGCACTGATGGGTGGCACTGATGGGCACAGGTGGGTGGCACTTCTGGACATTTGTGAGTGGCATTGCTGGGCACAGGTGGGCAGCACTAGTGGGTGGCATTGCTTGGCACTGATCATCAGGGCACTGATGATCAGTGCCCTGATGATCGGTGCCGATCCGTCCTCTGACAATTGCCAGTTATCAGTAGTACTTTCCTCACGCTGCGACAACGTAAGGAAAGTGCAGCCGAAAACCGGCAACTGCAGTTACCGGTGATCTGCTGTGTCATTGGACACGACTGATCACGTGGTAAAAGGCCGCTGTGATTGGCCTTTTACCACATCACGTGATCATCTGTGTCCGTAGGACCCAGCGTTCACAGAGATCGTCAGGTGCACGCCCCCGAGGGTGCACAGGAAGACACGTTCTAGGAGGACGACATATGACACCCTCCCAGAACTGGCTGGCCGCAGTGAAACCATCATTCGACTATCTGCAATCGGTTAATATGGTTTTTGCAGGTGAAGCTTGATATATATGAAATAGGAAAATTCCTTTATTTATATATTTATTGATTTATGTAGGATTGATAACTTACAGCCTACAGGGAAATTGATAGAAGGAGGGAGATGTGTTATAGAGCGAGCCGCATACACAATATATCACAGAAGTGAGTACACCCCTCACAGTTTTGTAAATATTTTATTCTATCTTTTCATGTGACAACACTGAAGAAATGACACTTTACTACAATGTAAAGTAGTGAGTGTACAGCTTGTATAACAGTGTACATTTGATGTCCCCTCAAAATAACTCAACACACAGCCATTAATGTCTAAACTGCTGGCAGCAAAAGTGAGTACACCCCCAAAGTGAAAATGTCCAAATTGGGTCCAGTTAGCCATTTTCCCCTCCCCGATGTCATGTGACTCATTACTGTTACAAGGTCTCAGGTATGAATGGGGAGCAGGTGTGTCAAATTTGGTGTTATCACTCTCACTATCTCAAACTGGTCACTGGACGTTCAACATGGCACCTCATGGCAGAGAACTCTCTGAGAATCTGAAAAAAAAAAGAATTGTTGCTCTACATAAAGATGGCCTAGGCTATAAGAAGATTGCCAAGACCCTGAAACTGAGCTGCAGCATGCTGGCCAAGACCTGCATATATATATTATATATATATATATACTCTACATTTATGTCATTATCTCATTTGAGTGTAGGCTGTCATTTACTGTACTTATTTAGAGTCATACCATAGCGCCAGAATACTTAATGTTTTCACTTTGCATTGGATGGAACTACAGGTATATCCTGAGAAAGAGTGGAAGGTGATGAAGTAAGGAAAAGAAACACTTCGTTGACTGATTAATCAGGCTTTAATTGACCAATATACAGTATGTCAAGAGTCTTTGGATCTTGTGAGAGTTCATAAGACCCTACAGGCTTTGATCTTAGATTGATATATTTTAGTGCTGGTTTTTGATTTGTAAATAAAAAATCCAAATTTTGTTGATCTTTTGATTCTATTCCAGTGGCATGTACTGGCACACTTGTGGGCCTTCATCTATAGAATTCAAATGTGTTTGCTGGACTGATATTGTTTGAGGTGTTTTGTTTTCATTTCGTATGTACTCTCCAGCGCCTCAGGAAATGCACAGCAAAAGGAAAGCCAAGGGAACCAGGACAGCGATAACCAAAGGAGATGCTTCAGGGGTGCAGCCCTCCTCAGACGGGGAGATCAGCCACTAGATAAAGAATAAACAGGTGGCGCACACACCTAGTGCATTATCCAAGGTTTATTCAAGGGTATAAAGAATAAAAATATACTCACAGATGAAGCATGTATCTAAAAAGCATTAGCATTATGAAGTTGGCCACAACGGCAAGCAAGGTGTTCCAACTGAAGTATCAGCAGCAAGGCTCTTACCATCGGTCCTCCTCATCCACTACACATCTGTACCAGTCCAAGAGGCTGGTCAACAGCTTTGAGGAAAGGGACTCATCCCCAAAACGCGTCAGTTATTTGACCGCACTAACAGTTGGAACACCTTCCTTGCCGTTGTGGCCATCTTCATAATGCTAATGCTTTTTAGATACATGCTTCGTCTGTGAGTATGTTTTTATCCTTTATACCTTTGAATAAACCTTGGATAATGCACTAGGTGTGTGCACCACCTAATTATTCTTTTGTTTTCATTTGGTGAAAGGAATGGTGGTGGATCAATAAATTATTATATGTGAATCTGTGCTAAGTTTATTTCCAGGGCATTGTGAGGCATGCCAACTGTAAATGGACATGTTGCAGTGTGCTTGGTGTATTGATTGGTATACACCGCATGGAGTACTGAATGTAATGGAACATGTAAGTTATTACCTTTTGTACCACCAGCCCCTCCCTCTTAGATTGTAAGCTCCAAGGAGCAGGGCCCTCCTTTCACTCTTGTATTGAACTGTATTGTTGCTGTATTGTCTCCCGTTATATTGTAAAGCTCTGAGCAAACTGTTGGCGCTATATAAATCCTGTATAATAATAATGTAATGAAGTACTGAGTTTATTGTGGTTAATGCTGCACAGTACTCTGGGGAAGCATGCAGCAGTGTTCTTAGTGTAATGGGGTTCTGTAGTGCACAGTGTGCACGTCATTAGATATCTAAGACTGACACTTCAGGAATGTGTTAGAAATATGAAGGTCTGTTGTTAAACTGACACACTGGATTCTTCAATAGTGCTGGGCTTTGGTGGTACAGTCTGTCTACCTGAGCAGCAGCAAACACTTGGAGAACAATAGCACTGAGGCAGAAAATCAATGTCCACTCCAGACCTTACCCCTTAAGAGCTCTCTCCTACCACCAAATATGGGTTCATCAATCAATCTGGTAAGTGTTTTTATTTGTCTATAGCCTGATTTGGACATTGCGGCTGTAAAAATGTTCTTTTACCATCTAGCTAACTGTAACAATTACAGTAACAGTTCATATGTGTTCACCATTTTCAGTTCATTACTTTAGTTCCTTAGAGATCACAAGAGTAATAATGACACATTTAAAGTAGGGATGCACCGATACCAGTATTGGTATCGGTGCCGAAACCGAGTATTTTCACGAGTTGTCATACTCGTGAAAATACTACCAATACCTTAACCAATACTTTGAGGTGCGATTTGTGTTAATGGATGCAAATTGCACCACAAAGATTATCATGCGATTTGAACAGGAATGCGATTCCTTTTCAAATCACATGCGGTTCCCCCACTGCTCCTGTGTGAATCCAGGCCTGTCATAGCCCAAGTTCACATAGGAGAGGTGTGGGAATCCTTCCTGCAGACATCCCATGCTGAGTGTTAGTGGCAGGAGAGGAGAGAAAGCGGTGGGGATTTCCATCCCATTAGCGCAAATCGCACCGCAAAGTATCGGTACTCTCTATTGGCAAGTACTTGACCAAAAGTATCGGTACTTGTACTTGCCAATAAAAAAATGGTATTTGTGCATCCCTTTAAAGCAGTGGGCATAGCTGGAATACATAATAAAGTGGACTTTGTGTCTCACAGGTCATATAATTTTGGAAGCTGATGTAAAAAAAGTAGTAAAAACGTTAAAGTGATTCTAAAGGCACAAGATTTCTTGCCTTCATACCTTCAATGCATGAAGCTAAAAAAACCTTCTGTGTGCAGTAGCCAACCCCCCCCCCCTCCAATCCTTACCTGAGCCCCCTCCGATCCAGCAATGTTCACAATAGCATATGCCTCATAGAAACAACGAGAATATCGGACACTATTGCTAGTCTAATATTGAAAGTGAAGTTACTAAAGTTATGAAAATTCTTGTATGACAGAATCAAAATACAAAATTATGTAATGTATTGTATTTGTTTTGTACTTTCGGACAAAAACTGTACTGATTAAATGAAAATTGTATGATCTAGTATCATACAAGGTAAAATGTTTGTGCTTGTCCCCTCAAATAATTTCAGACAAAAGCTATGTGCTAACAATCAGATTATCGTACAATCGCTTCGAAAGTGACATTTTTCGCACGATTTTCTGATCGTGTGTACCACGCTTTAGCCAGTGAGCCAATGAGGAGAGAGCTGGGGGAGCAAAGCAGCGGATCTATGTGTCTTATGGATGCATAGAGCAGCGAGTCAGGAGGGAGAGATCACACAGCGGTACCCCCAGGGCAAGTGGCTTTCTCTAAGGGCACTGCTCGAGGCGGAGGAGCCAGAAGTGTCGGTGGGGGACCCGAAAAGAAGAGGATCGGGGCTGCTCTGTGTAAAACTACTGCACAGAGCAGGTAAGTATGATATGTTTGTTATTTTGAAAAAAAACAAAAACAAAGTTTTTTCACACACTTTAAGTGTGTGAACACATTGATATTAGCCTGCATGCCCTTCAGGGTCAAAGAGGTGCTTTGAGAAAAAAAAGGTGCTGGCATGGTTCATGTGCAACCTGCAGTATGTCTCAAAGTAAGTTGGCTCACTGCCTGGCTGACACACACCATCCTTGTCAAAGGAAATATGCTGAAAAAAATACAAGGGCCATTGCTAACCTACTTATAATAATGATAGTTGCTGGCTCTCATACTAAATCAATGGGTACCTTATGTTGCTGACCTGGGATCATGCCCATGCAAGCTCAAGTCTTCATATCAACACCATCTAAAAAAATCACAGATTCACTCATTAAAAGGAACTTCACCCATTTTTTTTTAATTTTAAGTCATCAGCTACAAATATTGTACCTTTTGACTTTCAAAAAGACTTAGCAGTCCATGGAGTCCAGTGCTGTCTTCCTGCGACCAATTTTTTCGCTGCTGTACGTCCCCAGCGCTGTTGCCTTGCATTTGGAAGCGAGGGTCCTGAGGAATCACAGCCTGCGAGAGCGGTCCTGCCAACCCTCTTCAGATGTGTGACATGCTTCTGAAGCTGGTGGGATAAGCAGAGGCATAGCTAGGGGGGGCAGGGGGGTACATATGTACCCGGGCGCCAAGGTACAGGGGCACCAAAATGAGGCTTACAATGTTACATTATAATAAGTGAACAAGGGTAATAAATCGGTCACAAGATCACTGCAGCGGCCTGCCATCCATAGTGATGATGCTGCCTGCCAGCCACTGTAGCCAGCCGAGATACGGATTCTGCGTACAGCCAGTTCCGTCTGCACGTATTGAGCGTTGATAAAAAAAGTGGGTATATGTGATGCACTTGTTATTGTGGCAGAAAACAAAGATGGCTTAAACTGTATTAAGGTACATGTAGGTTGT